TTTAGTATAAATACTAAGTGTTCACGTAGTTATTAAGGGTGTTCATCATTGTATACAAGTCACTCATTTAGATTCAAGTACCCAGCGTGAGAGAAAGAATCATTGAGAATGTATGTGTGAAACACCATTTACCTTAATCGAAATCTTTTACATTCAAGCAATTTATCGCTTTCACATATTTATCTCAGTCGAAGTCATTTATTTAACAAGCCTTTAATGCTTTTATTTACTTTATCAAGCTTTTCTCCATGCAATTTACTTAAAGTGTCTCTACCTTACTTGTGTTAATCACCATTAGGATTAGTCGAAACTCTCTATTTTAAAGCATTTAAATGATAAAAATCAGCCATGTCTTAGGATCAATATGATCGATCCTGCGAGTCACCAAATAAGTTACCTTTTGGAAGATCAGCGGTTGTTTACCATTTTTCACTGTAAACACCTTTATATTGGTTAATCGCTACATGATCTTCAACAATCTTTGGTTGGGGCACTTGAGCAACTCCTTCCACATCGTGGTCTCCATATTTCAATTCTATGTAATTGTCCATGTTATTGACCGGAATTTGCAAATTATGGGATGCCCCCACCTTCATAGCAGGTGGAGCGAAACCTTCAGTCATGATGGCCTCTTGTTGGGCAACAATTGACTTCGCGAGACCAGATTATGGCTCATGTCTTAGTTGGTGACCGCTTGATGCACCAATGGTTTGGGCTACTTCTTCAAAGGCCACCTTAGGAATCTTGTCTTGTATTTCTATGATATTTTTCAAGGTGAGTGGGACTTGACTCATGTCTCCTTTCATCAAGTTGATACTCCCTTTCACTTGTTCCAAGTCTTCTTGAAAGGCAGCTTGGTTTTCCACGATTTTCTTCATTACTTTCTTTTGATGAGCTCTTGTTTGATACGGACGTTGGGAAGGTAGTGTGGTTTTCACAATGATTTAGCTGGAGATGATATGAAAACAATGATTTTTTAGTATGTCATATGAAATGTGATGCTTGTTCTTGGAACGTATGAATATGCTAAGATTTTATTCGAATGTCTTATTCATATTGGATTCCTTTATTATTATTTTTCAGGTTTTACTTTTTTATTGGCGAGTATCCCAAAGAATATACACAGATAAAATACCAAAACAAAGTATTTTTTATTTAATAAAAACAATCATCCTTGAATGGGAAATACAATTCATACACCGAAACAAACACTGAATGGAAATACTGAATAAAAAAACAAGTGTCAAATACTGAACAAAATAAGAAAAGGGAAGCTAAAATCTCTTAAGCACATTTGCTGATCTCCGCCCTAAAACCATCCACCATCTCCCTACAAAGTTTGAGGAAGTCTTCAACATTCTTCGGAAGAGGGACCATCACGGCTTCTGCATCTCTCAAGCTTCTAGAAATTTCACCATTGAGATTTTTTCTAAGAAGGCAAGCTTTGCATGTTTGTTTTTGTACCTCAGATACTCCTTGTAAAGTGTAGGGATTATTACCTTATTGTCTTCTCCATCTTGAGCTTCTTTGCATATTGCTCTCCCCAATTCTCTTTTGTCTTGTAACACTTTATCATACCATTTCTTTAGCCTTCCAATTTCTCTTCCAGCATCGTCTAACCATTGATTGTGGGAGTCAAGATTGAAAGTAGCACTTAGCAACCCCTCGGTTGAACGCTTTATTTTAGACCTTTCTTTCTAATCTAATTCACGGTCGCTTTGAATATGTTGGTCTTTCATATCGAGCTCTCGTTTCAAATGATTATTTTTAATAACAAGGTCAAAAAGGTCATGTTCCAAATTCTCCTTGTCTCTTTGAGCTTTCTAGAGGGAATTTTTTAGCTCTTTTATCTCCTCCACTAACATCGAAAGAGGATCTGGTATGTCTAACATGTAATTAGGATCAATATCAATGGTAGTTTGATGATTTGAACCCTCTCCAAAACCCATTGAGTATAAGGTTCCCTTGCAACAACATTCTTCCTACCAAATTCAACACCTTTCTTATGAACCTTAATCCAAAATTGTATGACTTTCGCAAGCAACTTGGGGTTGTTCTTACCCATATCATAAAGGACCAATTGTTGAGGTTGTGCATCAGAAGGTTTATCTTCCAAAGGGTATCCAAGTTGACGTAAAGCCAAAGTGGGGTTATAGTTAATACATCCTCTTGTTCCAATCAGGGGAACATTTGGAAATTCTCCATGGCTATAGACAATGTCACCTATGTTCAAGTTTCTAGCATACCACAAAAAAAATCAGCAGTAAGAGCCCTCAACTTTTTGGACCATTCATTCTTTGTTAAGTCTTAACCATGTAGTCCTCTTTGTGGAAGTGAGAAATAAGACAAGAGTATAAGAGAGGAATACAACAATTTAGCACGCCCCTCCCCCTTTCTTAGTGTGTATGAAGGGCGTAGTAAACATGAGTAAGTAAAGTAGTAGTGGTATCCGCATTCAAAACTTTTACGACCTAAAATATGTTAATGGCCGCTGAATTAATATAGTCGATAGTATTTGGAAATAAAACCAAACCAAAAACCAGTAGTTCCAAACAGTCCACACAAGCTTCCCATTCTTTCTTATCAACAAAATAAAGATCCTTAGATTCTAAATACTGCCTCTTAACACCTTGAACTTCCTCATCTTTGTTGTAATTTAGTGGAAAGTCAGTGAAAGGCATCCCTATCTCCTTAGCCAAATTTATAATATTGATAGTCTGTTCAATTCCTTTGTAAGCTTCATCTTTGATCCTAGAGAAATACAAGATCCTATCAAATTATTCCAAAGTAGGTGCTAGTTGAAAGTTCTGGGAGGTGAAACATCTTAGAGGAGGGTTGTAGAATTGATCAAGGGCAGTGACATCTTCCACTTGCACAATTATCTTGGTCAACTCAAGGATATCCCCATAGCGTCGAACAAACATCTTCATAGCTTTCTCAGTTAGTTTCCCCCTAATCAGTTTGATCTTCTTCATATCAGGAACTAAGTTGCTAACTTGAACAATTTCTTTCTCATTGGTATTCATCTTTAGGATACTCACCAAAAACCTTTAATTATTTTTATTTAGGAATCCCATGAATAAGACAACACAAATGCCAAAATGATGAATATTTTGAAATTCAAGATGTATGCATGCATGGTGATGTAACATTATGGTGGAATTATGAAAGATATCCTTAGTAGGTAGGCTCCTAGTTTCATCGTACAAATATTCTACCATCCCCATAAGGGTGGCTTCCTTAAGGGTATCATGGATAACGCTAAAGGGAAAAGGCACAATGGCCTCCCTTGGGCAGAGCCTCTTTGTGGACCGAGACTTTCGTCTCTTAGGTCATTCAAGGTCTCACCATGAGATATCGTTTTAGGTTTATACATAGACTCATTGGCCAAATCCTGAAGTCCTACCTCCAAGAGATTCTATCCCTCTGAAAGATATTCCTTGGAACTCAACCGACTCTAGGCGAAGTCGTCGCAAAAACTCATCGGGGAGTTAAACCCCCTTGGCCAATTGACAATCCTTCTTTCTAAGGTTTGATTTTTTTTTTTAAATTTAAAAATCCACCAACAATAACATGTTAAAATATAATAATGCTACAAATAATAGACAAACAATAAATAAATAAACATAGAAACATGCTATAAATAGAAAGCACCCAAAAAAACCTAGACCTAAAAGATAGGGAAACTTTAAACCCTAGGATTGTATCCCCAACAGAGTTGCCAGCTGTCATTCTAAATTCGGGAGTTGGTTAGACAAAGGGAAGGTGTTAGGCACCCTTCATCTCCCTGGTTCTCAAGGGGCTCCTTTTCTAGGTCGTAGGGTAAATAGGGGATTTTCTATTTAACTGCATTGTTTCCAGGTATTTGAGAAAAGAATTTAGTTTTTTAGTTATGAACTCGCCTTGATTTTAACTGTGTTCCTATGTATCTTCTTGCAAAGAATTAGAGTCCAAATTCCTAGTTCGTATGTGTTTGGTTAGTTTTTTTTATAAGATTGTGTAAATGCTTTAGAATTATCCTTGTACCTTGTCTGGGTTTGAAAATAGCATACTCGTAGACGAAGTTCGCAGTTAATACGAAAAATATATCCATAATCCTTCTTTGAAAATAATATTGAAATTGAAATTATGTTAGTAAAAAGATGTTAAATTTTATTGGTTAGATACCTTGAATGCGTGATGCAATTTTGGAAGAAAAAAAAACAAGTTTGAATGATGAAATATATTTGATGAATTGATAGAAAAAGGTTAGTATTTTAGAAAATAGTTAATAAATAAGAATTTCCTTATTCTTATAAATATATTAAATATTTTTAATAATATTCAATATATTTATTTATAAAAATTATTAATATGATAAATAAAAAAAATATAATTTTAATGCATATGATAAAAAATGATATGAGAGGAAAAATGGTAATTATATATAATATATAAATTAAATAAATAAGATAAAAACAAATAATTAAATAAATAAATTAAATATTTAATTTAATAAAAAATATGAGGTGTATTTTTAGTTAAGGTTGTAAAACAGGGGATGCCAATAACACTGGATAAGCCCAAGATTTAAATTTAGAGCCCAATAGGCAGGGTGGGTGTAAATTATGTTGGGGGTAGCAATTCTGGAGGTGTGGATAGAAACAGTCTTGCCCATAATAGTTATTATAGGTCCGTTTGAGCATCGTGTATGTGAACCCAAGGCATTATGGTGTACCACAAGATCTGAGACGTCTGATATGAATCCAAGGGCCATTACAGGCCAGCTCTGGTGGGTTGATTCAAAGTAAGACAAACAAATGTTTGAAATGTGATGTTGACCGAGGGTGTACCATGGATGACACGCATGGGATCACGTTGAGTAATCCACTTGCATGGGCAGTTAATGGCCACGTATTGTAGTGTGGAGGGAATACTTATTCCATTTTTCTTCACAAAGCTATCATTCTCAACAAATTTTTCTCTCTCCTTCTCCTATCCCTTATTTTGTTTCTCTCATCTCACCAGGAACAAAACTGCACTGAAAATCGCCCTGACCGGCTGCGCCACCCCAACCCCAAAGTAGGCCAACATGAGCAACCCTTGACCACCATAAAAACCCATATCTTCGATTGAACTTCAACCAGGACCTTCATCCCAAACCCATAACCATTACAAACCCAGAACCCTACAAATCTGCTGTGTAGATGCAAGGCCACCTGGACCTTCATCTTTTCCTCTAGATAAAACCAAGAACCCTAGCCCTCATCTTCATTAACCCTAACCCAAAGCCAATATGAACCCTAACCCTAATAATTACCAGAAATCCCAAATTTAACTCAACGATTCACAAAATCAACAATCATAACACCAATTACAAAACCCTAATCTAAGTTTAGGCTTACCTCTAATGCATTGAAACTTCTTGTATAAATTCCTCTTATGATTTCTCTTTCTACCTCTAATCCTCCTTCTCTCTCTGTTTTAGGTACAACAATGGCAGAGGTGCAACAATTGAACAGGGGTTTCGTCAAGATCTTTCTCCTTCTTCTCCTCTTAAATTTTTCCATCCTTAATTCTTTTTAGCACTAGTGTTTTTATAGGTTTCAAGAGAAGTTGAATTAGGAAAATAGATTAAGTGATTGATGTTATATTTTAGATTGATTGATTGTTTAATTAGGTATTTCATTTAGGAATTAGTCAGATTTTAGATTAGATTTGAGTATAATTAGAAATTAGGAAGATTTGATTGAGATTTGATTGTAATTTAGGTCCAATTATGGTTTATAATTGATTATGTATTTGGTACGAAATTGGTTGTAAATTCACCATCAATCAATAAAATTGATTTTCAATCATCCCAATTGTTTTGATCTGATGCGTTTTCTGGATTTTTTGGGCTCTTGCGTTAGACGGATGCGCCACTGGGGATGCAAAGGGTGAAAACCCTAGTTGAATTTAGTCAAATTTCTCTTAACAATTGAAATAATAAATATAATAATAATAAATAATGAACAAATATGTACAACAATGTTGGTGTTGACCTCCGGGTCAACCAAGGATTTAAACATGATAGTTTTGTTATAATAAAAAAAGAAATTAAGCTTTTGCTTGTTCAAAAATAATAACATTTAGAATATAAATATTTTATTATTCAAACAAATCTTATTTGTTTTAGAAAATTAGATAAAAAAATATTCTTAAGAATAAAAATTATAAACTAAGAATGATGGAATAAATAAAAATCATTTCTTTTATCAAAGCAAAATATTTATAGTATTTATTTTAGAAATAACTAAAATATTTTATAAGTTCTATTTATCAAACTACTTAGAAGTGAATTAAAATATATATCTAAAAAGAAAATTTTGATGTTAGTAACAAAAACATAATAAACCTAAAAATTATTTTGACTAAAATGGATCCTTTACAAGTTTTCAAAAAGACTAATGTTAGTATTTGAAATAAAAACAATAATATAAAGTGATGACAAAAATAAGAATTGTCTTGATTGTAAAAATGTGACGGGCAAATTTGGGGTATGACATGACGCTCTTTTAAAATTTTCATGAACTTTCCAAGTCGCTGTCCTTCTTTAGCTTTTCTGATCCTTTGGTGGAAAATGGGGTGGTGGTCTTTCTTGCACACGTTGAGCACTTTGTCTACATATGACAAGACTTCTGGTCTATTTTCTAGATTGAGTGTCATGCCAGGAGTCTTCATCTTTCCCAGATCTTATTTTGAAACTTCTTCATTATGTCCTTTTAAAGACGGTTCCTCAGTTAACCCAACTTTATCTTCTTCTGAACTGTCATGAGCTGACAATTCCTCACTTGGAACTTCATTTCTTATAGATGTTGATCCTTCACAATCTCTTCCACTTCTTGGCTTAATGATCTTACACGTTTTAGGATTCTTGACTCCAGATGTAGTGGCTGAAGTTTCAATGGAGCTAGAGAGATAACCTATATTTCTTGAGCTACGTGCAGTGAAAATTTACTCCACTTGATTCTATAGGATCTTGATTCTAACTCCTTGAGCTTGAAACTGGTGTTTGGTCTCTTGTATGAAGGATTTCAGTATGTTTTCCAATTGGTTATTCCATTGATTAGCCACAACATAGTTTGATGTGGAAAAACCAGTGAAACTTGTGGTGCTTTAGATGATTGAGGTTTGAGTTGATTTTGATTATTGCTCCATGAAAAATTGGGGTAGTTTCACCAATCAGAGTTGTAATTGTTACTGTACGGTTTTTTATACTTGTTGTTGCCAACATAGTTAACTGAAACATGATTGACATAACATTCTTCAAATAAGTGAGCACATCCACAATACACACATGAAACCTCTAATGTGTTAGTAACTACCTTGACAGGTTCAGATGTTGACACATCAAGAGTCATCATCATGTTTTTCATCATTTTGTGAATATGAGCCACCAGAGAAACAAAAGTTATGGACTAAGTGACCTTATGAACACCATCAGGCTTCTTCTGAGTGGAATTAATGATATCCATAGTGACAGACCATTGATAAGTGTTGGCAATAATAATCTCAATCAACTTGTATCCATCTTCATATGACTTAGGCAATAGTGCTCCACCACTTAAGGTATCTAACATGTTCCTTGATGAAGGCCTCAATCTATTATAAAATGTTTCAAGTTAAATACAAATTGGGATCCTATGATGGGGACATTGTATAAGAAACTACTTGAATCTTTCCCAAGCATCAAACAGAGACACGTCATCTCCTTGTCTAAATAAGGTTATTTCATTTCTCTTTTTGGCATTCTTGACACGAGGAAAATATTTGGCTAGAAATTTTGCAGCCAAATTATTTTGTGTGCCTATGGAATTAGGCTCCAAGAAATTTAACCAACTCTTGAATACATCCCTTAGAGAGTATGCAAAATTCCTTAACCTAAAGGAATCATCTGTAATGCTAAGGATCTTGAAGTTACTGGCCACTTCCAGGAATTGTGTCAAATACAAGTGTGTACCCTTATTTACAGTGCTTGAGTATTTGACTAATAGCTTGCAACATCTAGAAAATCATTAGATGGAACTCAAAATATGCTACAATGATCTTTGGACGCATGGTTCCTGTGTTCATGGCATTGGGATCAAAGACGGCATAGTCTCTAATGTTTCTTGCTATATCATTGGCAATGCCAATAATGTCGGTTTCTGCCATGACAACTTCCTCTTGCATTATCCCCTTTTGGTATTCTATATAAAAAACAAGGAAGAGATGAGGACTCCCTGGTAAATGTCTAGTAAGAAGAAATCTCTTTAGCAATCTAAATGTTCTTTCAGGTTCATGATCTCCTCTGTAAACTGGGTTTAACAACTTGCACATGCAATAGCAAAGTAACTATCGTGACACCAGAGTATAGGAATTTTTTAAAGATCAAATGATAATCTAGATAAAATATTTAGTATTTCATACGAAATCAAAAGGTTTACTTGGCACTCTCTGTTAACGGCGCCAAAACCTTGTTTGCTTGAAAATGTGTCACATGCAAGTATACATGTATGTGAATGTATAAACTTAGTAAAAAGTAAGGATGTTGTACCCACAAGGAGTGAAAGTAACTTAGATTGATATTAGCAATGAACTATCTTTTTGAAAAATTAGCATGAGCAACATAAAAAGAATAAATGATTGTCATAAGTTTAGTTTTCTTTTAAACAAGAAATAAGTAGTTTAAAATGAATGTTGTGAGTATTTCAAGAGAGTGTAAGTTTATCTATGATCCATTAATATCTATTAAGAAATTATATGTACATGATGTGAAGTGTTGTGCCAAGAAAGGTTAGAAACTGATCCTAAGGTGTATTTCTACAACATCAAAAGCATGTATTTTAAGGCAATGGAACAAATCTCTAAGCCACACTTATAACCATAAAATACTTCTGTATACATTCTAAAATTCCATTATATCTTCATCCTACTCTTTTCAACTAATTTTATTATGAAATCCACTTATTGTTGGATCTTTCACAACAACAAGCTTTTATCTTTTTCTAAGTTTATCATTCAAAGAAGCAGATTGATAATAATTTAACACATAATAAAATAAGGCACTTTCGTTGCATCATTTAACATATAAACAACATAACATTAACTTCTCATTTCTCAACAAACAAATGGTTTATCTCATGTGATCTGAGTATAAACTACAAATATGGTTCTTATAGGAAACATTCTTAAACAGATTATGAAAAAGAAATGACAACCTAAGAGTAATGTGTAGCCCTCTTGTGATGGATAATCAACAAGTGATGACTTAAGTCGCGTCAGGATTCATCAGTAAGCACTGGAAATTTTGAGAAGAAGAAATTATATGTTCTCTCCATTAATCCTTACACTCTTTTCTTGTTTTTTTATTCAAGGTGTTAAACTCTCCATTTATTATTCAACAAGATCTATTTATATGTCTTCATCTAGGGTTCTTTTCCTTGTCTTGGATCATGGGGTTTTTGAGAAATCACATCAAGCCCAATGTTTTCCTCAACATGTTCCCATCTTCTCTTTTTCTTCGTATGCAAGAAATCAGGTATTGAAAGTTGTTCGGGATAAAATGCAGCATGGCAAACTACAGTAGTAGAGGTGAAGGCGGTGTTGTCCTTTTCTGCATGATGCGCTTTAGTGGGATATGTACTATCCTCTTTTGTCTTCTAGAACCATTGATCTTATCCCTTAGATTCAAGAAAAACTCTTCCAACACAGCAGCAAATATTCCCCTCCAATGCAACTTTATTTCCACATATGCCCTAGGAATCAATTTGGTTTCCTTATTTAACCATTTAGATGATTCTAACTTTTTGATTCAATTTGAACTGTCATATGTTGTCCCCTACTGTCTTGCCTTAACTCATCATAATTAACCTTGAAACAAGAAACAAACACATAAAAACTACAAAAGATAGCACCTATTATGTTATATGAAATTTACTCTAAAACAACAAAAACTCAATAAATTAAACTAACAATTAACAAATCCACTAGATAAAATAAAAATAATAGGCCATATAATAACTCAAAAAATATGGTTCAGTGAACAACCTTATGGCCTAATTTATCTTGCTCGGTGTTTCCCAACGCACTGTCAACTAACTTGGAAATACCATTTGCATCCCTCCATGTTCCTAAATGCTCCAAAATGTGATGTTGTTGCAAGGTCTTATGATTCCCACACCTGTAATCCTACCTATTTCGAGGCTTG